CTACATCACCTTACCATTCAGAGGTGATTCAAATAGCCTCTTATCGAAACAAAGGCTTAAATCAGTCATCAACAAAACGTATTGCACAGCAAAGGTCATTATCAAAGAAAGAACAAGGTGCATGCTTCACCTAAAACCTAACTGACATGAAAAAGATTGTGTCACATCCCATTGTGTTTACCAATTGAAATGTGTGTATGGTCACACGTACATAGGGAGGAGCAATCGTGATCTCAAAATTAGGGTATATGAACATATACCAAAATGGTTGCAGAAACAAATACAATCAAGAGGATAAATATCCATCATCCTCTATTGCTAAACATAATCGGAACAGGCCATTAGCTAAGTGGATAACGCGATGACGTTTGAAGCGAACGGTACTGGGTTACAGTCCCGGAGTGAACATCAACTCTGGGATACAGGTACATCCAGCTGACGAGTAATAAATAGAACGAAACGCACGTCCTGGATTCCACCGCTAGCCACTATGCGTTTTTGTTTATAATGCTTGTGAATTAAGGCAATATCGAGGTAATCTTCACAGGATGCACATGTGCTATCAAATGACTGATCAATTGCAGACCTAAACATCAATGGGAAGATTCAAGTAAAATAATACGAAGTGAACTTCTTTCTATTTATTCTATATTCAGTTTACATGAAAACTATTTGTATAACAAATTAGAAATTTCTGAGTTGATATAATTTTACTGTATCATTTAATGGTTCCTAATAGTATAACTTAATCTTTAGACGATTGTTTTTTTTTGTAAAGTTAAATCATTTCACTTATGAAGCTGGTTTATCTAAGCGTGTGATTGTTTTTCTAATCATACTTTGATCATGATATGCATCAGTAGATAAGTTATGTGAATTCATCCAGTGCTTTATGCAAACAACAAATCTTATCCATAATAATAAAATGGTTTTTCAGTCTAATGTCTATTGTGAATTCATAAAGTTTCATTAATTTTTCAATATGATAGAAATTAGCAACAAAAAGCCAGTTATATATATAAATTGTATTAATTAATAACGACTTTATATTGTAAATTGAAATTTCGGTCAACAATTCAGCTACCTATTTAAATAAATTAATTACTTACTTACGCCTGTTATTCCCAATAAATCATAGGCCAGAGACCACCATTCTCAAACCTACTCTGTCCTACTCATTCCTTTCCAGTTATATCCAATTGTTATTCATTTTTCTGATGTCTGAATCCATTTCTCAACGTTATGTGTTATTTGGTAATCCTCTTCTCCTTTCGTTAGTCTTGAGGATTACATATGGGGACTTGCCTTGTGATGCAGTTCGGTACTTTCCTCAATATGTGTCCTATCCACTTCCAGTGATTCTCCCTGATTTCCTCCTCCACTGGAATCTGGTTTGTTCTCTCCCACAGCAGGTTGTTGCTGGTAGTGTTTGGCCAATGCATCTGAAATATTTCGTGTAGACAACTGTTAATAAACACCTGTATCTTCTGGATGATGAATTTCGTAGTTCTCCAGATTTCCGCCACATACAGTAGAACTATGTTGACATTTGTATTGAAAATTCTGAACTTGGTATTGGTTGGTTGACCTAGAGTGGTTTCGAGTTCCAGATATTCTTCAATTGTAAATATACTGCTGTTGCTTTGCCAATCCTATTTAAATAAGCTACTGATCATAGTTTGAAAATCAAATAACTCTTAATTTTGTTGGTTTTTACCTTCTTGGAAAAACCTTTTTCTTTTGAGCTCGAAAAATGTATACACAGCGTTTTTCTAGGTAGAAATCTATAGATTTCTTCTCTATCATTCCATCAATACGTAGTCTTCTACGGTGATTATTTAGTATTTGTATACTACATTTTTTCTGAAACTTACACTGTTATACACTTAGTTTCTTTGATTATTTTTAACAGAGGGAAATCAGTAACAAGGTTTATAGAGTATAATAATCAGTCAGTCAATCAGCTACAACGTAGGACCAGGCACATGCATGCATCGGTCCAAGTTGCCATACCTCATTATCACAGCAAGATGAACACCGGATTCATAGAAGTAGTTAAGTCAGTGGTGGTAGTATATAAAAGAAAGATTGTATATAAGGATGTAGTACAGGAAGAAAGAATTAGTACGTAGAAAGAAAGATATGAAGCGATTTTAATCTCTTATTTTTAGGGAAGACGGAGAGTGTATACACCTACGCCAATGTGATCGATTCTAAGTCATGTCACCAAGAGTCTCCAACCATTGATTACGACAGTCACTCGGACCCCAACTAAATAGTCTGCATCTATCAACATGGCATAGACCAGAAGTGGTCTAAGTATAATTTATTCTTGTTTATCTTTAAATAATTTACAGTTACAACAACTCACAGGATGAAAGTGAAATGGTTAAAATTACAAAACCTTTATAGATACTTTAATGCACGTTGAACATGGTGATGGCTAACTGAACTCTTCATTTTATTGGATAATGAGTTGATGCTTAAAGCGACAGAGGCTGGGTTTAAGTATTGGTATGAATATCAACAGTGGGATTCATGTCATCCAGTTGACAAATACTAACTGGAATGAAACACAAGTCTTGAATTTCAGTTCTACCCAGATACTAAATAAACTGTAAGATTGATATACTTCGTTTAAGAAAGTTAAGACAGAAATTCAAAATAAGACATAAAATGATATAGGATTATTACATAAGAATACAAAATCTAACCACGTAAAGTAAGGCAGATAAGATGAATAGTGATTATCAAAAAAAGTAATAATTACATAATTTTACTACATGATTAGAAAAGAATAAATTCTATGTATCAAAGTGAGTGAATCACTATATATTAGTTTCAACTATAATACATAATAGTTTCACAGTATTTGGGCACCGAGTTAATGTGAGACATTAAAGATATATTTCCTTGAAAAAGCTTGGACCAGATTGCCAGATGAAACGTTGGATTTACTTCAAATTCTTTCACTGAGATTTCATAAATACATTCTTCCTCTATAATGCATAATGTTGTTTTATATGTGTAGGTGATATGTCTTATCAATCTGATTAGGTGTTTGATTACGAATTTTCGGCAAACTTCATTCATAAGAATAATGTTGATTATTTGGTTTGAACCATATTATGGATTGAATATTTAGGCTACTTATAACTGATAAAGAGAATGATAAAATCCATTTATGTTCTGTATTACTTAGATTTATTTGATGAATTACCTTTGAAATTACTATGAAAACTAATGATCAGGTTGACTATGACTCAAATTTTTATCATGAACATAACTTGATATTAGTATTCACACTTTACACTCTAGTGTTTGGTATCTTACAATGAAAATAAGCTGTACAACATATATACAGAATAATCAGCAAAGCTTAACATTAAATCAGATTAATAAGCTTTAACACGATTCATAAATTGTGTTAGGGTGGGATCAAGCTAGAGATTATTAATTGATTAAGCATAATATTCATCATTTGTTCCTACTACTTAAAAAATGAATATCATACATAATTTAAGTAGTAGGAACAAATGATGAGAACATTTGACAAACTCGTTCGAAATAAATTACGGTGTCAGGCCAAGGTTGCTTACTCTCACTCCACCACCAGTGTAGCAGCAGCCTCAGCAACACTAGGTCTCAATATGCACAAAGGGAAAAGCAAGAGTCTCCGATACAACACAGAATGCACCAATCCAGTCACAATTGACGGAGAAGATTTCGAAGATGTAAAAGCCTTGACATATCTGAGCAGCATCATTCATGAACACGGTGGATCTGATGCAGATGTGAAGGCGCCGACTGGAAAAGCAATAGCAGCACATTTACAATTGAAGAATATCTGGAACTCGAAACCACTCTAGGTCAACCAACCAATACCAAGTTCAGGATTTTCAGTGCAAATGTCAACACAGTTCTACTGTATGTGGCGGAAATTTGGAGAACTTCGAAAGTCATCATCCAGAAGATACAGGTGTTTATTAACAATTGTCTACACGAAATATTTCAGATGCATTGGCCAAACACTACCAGCAACAACCTGCTGTGGGAGAGAACAAACCAGATTCCAGTGGAGGAGGAAATCAGGGAGAATCACTGGAAGTGGATAGGACACATATTGAGGAAAGTACCGAACTGCATCACAAGGCAAGCCCTCACATGTAATCCTCAAGACTAACGAAAGGAGAAGAGGATTACCAAAGAACACATTACGTCGAAAAATGGAGACATATATGAGAAGAATAAATAACAATTGGATATAACTGGAAAGGAATGAGTAGGACAGAGTAGGTTTGAGAATGGTGGTCTCTGGCCTATGATTTATTGGGAATAACAGGCGTAAGCAAGTAAGTAAGTATGCATAGATTAATTATTTAATAGTAGTAAAATTTGTGTATAAATGATTGTGTTTTACTAAAATGATTGTATTATTGTTTTTGGTGGATGTATACAAATTTTGTCATATATCGCTTTTTATCTTCTATCCATCATGTGAATCTCCGTTTTTTTTCTGGTTTAATTTGCAGTTATAACAAATCTATTCAGTTTTGTTTTTCAAAGAATTAGCAATTACATTTATCATTAGTTATGATCGGAAGAAATAATCACTTTTATGCATCATACACATATTACAATTAGATTGCTCAAAGGTTTTTTAAAACTAGTTTCATTTGATAGTCCATTAAAACAGATCGATTTAAATTCTATCGACTATGTTGCCGCGTATCTGCCTTAAATAGAAGCCTTTGGCATTGATATGAACTAAACTTCTCAAGTTCTTAGCAGGAGTACAAGAAATGAAATCTGTCTGTTGACTTACAGGACTAGTCGACCAAATTGTGAAAACCATCTAGTAAAAAAAGCCACCTAAATAAACGTTTATTCTTATGTCCACCGGAATATGCTGCTTGAAAAGCGAAAAATATTGATATCGTTTATTACGTAATATTATTAATATTTTATTGTTTATTTTTCATTCTCAAGAAATAATAGATATGACCGTGCATGTACCATATAGTGCTTGGAGTGAACAGTGTCGAGCACTACTTGAAGTTCATTCAAAACTAGATGCTCTTTGCGTTTGCGATCATGGAAGTCGTGTACTAGGAAGTGCATTTAAAATCCCGGAATTTGCGGTTAGTTCGACTGATCTTAATGCATAGCATCTTTTTCGAAAAAAATACATTATCGTCAATAATTGCAATATTATTTATTAAAATGATTTACTTGGTTAAAAAGGTGGTGTTATAGCGTTAAGTTATGTTTCATTGTTTCTTCTTATTGAATTCTTTGTTATTTAGTAGTTATTATATATATGTTCACCTTGATAACAACATCGAACAAATGGAGATTTCTTAGTTATAACTGGAGATGGGTATTTTGCTAATACATAAAACATGATTCAAAGAAACTGCATGTAAAGTTTGTTTGCATGCTCTATATTCACTCTTTCCCCGCTCAGTCTATTTTGTGTCAATTATTTTATACTACTTGTAAATATTCAGTAATATTCAGTAATCATAATTTCTAAGCATATGGCATATAATAATGTTTATTCTGTGATATTCCGAAGTATTTAAATAAACAGACAACATTCACTTTATTTGCTATTGTATTTACACCTCAGGTTTTCGTGAATTCCCTGAATTTTTATTTAAACGTGACAGTTTTCGTATGTTTTGTCCTTCGTCTCTGATTATTGATAGCCGTTACTTACTTTAGACACACCATCTATCTGTTACTTAATCTGTCAAAGCCTTTTTCTTTCTATTCATGCATAAGCGTCAGTCGCTATAGATACTTTCAGATTCCGGGTTATTATCTAATTTACACATAAATTGTAATAACGGAACCCTTCTTCATATAAATGGTTGATTTGAACCTCGATTTCATGTGCATCACGGCTGTTTAGCTGGGCGCTTCCATAGAATTCAATCTTCTGAGTTATCATCATTGACAAGTGGATGTTACTGTGTCGATTCCGAGATCAATTTTCTTTTAATATTTCTTGTCAAATAACGAAGAGTATTTATTATGTCCATGTTGTAAGCTATCTGTTTTCGTGTACAGGGCCAATTGATCTACAGTGTGTATCACTAATATTGGTCTTAAGTAAAAACGCACATAAGGATGGCGACTAATGGATACTCCGATATATAATACAAGACTTTATATCTTGCACAGGTCTTTAGTGAAAAATATGGAACTATCTAAAATCTCCCCGATGTTTTTTGAATAACAGATTTCGAAAACCTGTAGGTAAAACGATTCCTGAAACAACTAATTATACGACTGACCTATAAATAATAATGTGGAATTATCTATCAGCAATTAAACTTAATATATGCATTCATATTATACAGTTTTACAATCCTTAAATTTCATTATCGAGTTGAGTGTTTTGGTTTATTATACTGAATCCACCTCGTTTCATAATTTATACACAGATGGGTCCAACAAATATTGAATGAGCATTGTGCTCTTTTCAAATTTATTGAGATCTAACGTGTGATTCACTAGATCACAGTTTCGTAAATCAATAGTACCGAGTTAATGGCATAACACACAGGCATTGGACTTGATTGTATATGAAGTAATAAGTGTCGCTTTTTGAGTAATCACAAACAAAGATAAATAGTAAAACGTTCATCACTGGGTGATCACCAGTTTTTTAGGTGATATCAGTTTGCGAAGATGAAATCGTTTTCCAGATGTACAAAATCTCCACCAAAACAACTATACCATCTAAATTTGTTTCGTATGGTGCTAATCTGACGTCTGTTAGATAAATATGGAATGTGGATTACTAAATGGTCTAATTTATCTGTCAGTAATCTAAAAAATAATGTGGTTTACTCTATTAGTAGGTTTCTGTTTAAATACTGATTGAATTCAAACATTTAAGTTTGGATCCTAAGAGATAATACTAACTTCTGGTTGGTTTTAAAAGTAATGAACAGTAAATGCCGCTAACAGTACACAGAAATACCTATATGGACAGAGTTTAAGAAACGGTTATAGTTTAATGCATTATCAAGTCTTTTGTTTAACGTTAATGGATACTAATAACTAGAGCATACAACTGGTTACCGTTTGACAATCAATTCTTCTATATAATTATAAACAAAGAATTGTTTTATTCGTCAGATTAATACAAGATTAATTAGCATTCCAAATTGTCTGTTACAAGTGCTGTACACCACATATAAGATATAGAGTAGAAGAAAATCTATAGGATATTTATACTTTAGTTGAAACAACATACTTCATTTTATTCACAAAATATACTCGAATGTTCCTTGGTTGTATAACTGTAGAATTTTGATGAACTCTGATCTGTTCTAATAGGTATACTCTATGAAACAAAGCTTAAACTGTTCAATAGCTTAAACTTCTCAACTCCCCCATTAGGTTTCTCTTGACCGTGCTTTTAAAGAGTGAAATATTTGTAAGAGAAATTTAAGAAATGTCAAACTTACCTAATAAAATAAATAATTTAGTATGTTTCAATAGTTGAAATCATAAGTCGTTTAAAGCTAAACCACCATGAAAAAACTGAACAACCGTTTCGTCCTATTGTGGGACTCCTCGACAGTGCGCATCTACGACCTTGCCTCGCGAGATTCAAACTCAATGCTCCCAGGTTTTCCATGATGATTTAGTTTCAATTAGTTCATGATCTTAACTATTGAAATTACTATAATATTCACATAAAGAAACCCCTTTTAAAGATTTCGTATATCAAATTTCTTCACTTAAATATAGTTGAAAATGTTAATGTTTATTATAGGAATATTTCATCTGATATTTTGTTAACATTCTATTCTCTTTATTATCAGTGTAACTTTATTTCTATCGAAATTTAAAAATAGTTATTAACTTTCCATAAACTTAACCTTTTCACTTTAGTTGATATCCTCGTTATAATTATTATTATTATTTTATATATTAGAGTATAACTAATTTGAGTACAAATCAAGTTCGTGCTATACGTTTGGTTATGGCAAAAATTGGCACACAAAAACTAAATATTGATTTTTTAAATGATCGTTTTGTTGTTATTGATGCAAACAATGAAATGTTATCAGCTAAATCTGGTAAAAAAAGTTTATTTGTTGAATTAACTAAAACATGTAAGTTGATAATATATAATAATTTCATAATTAGAAAGAATTTTTGTGGAGATTTAAGTAATTTCAATAGTTGAGATCAGGAGACAATTGAAGCTAGACCATGATGGAAAACCTGGAAGCACTGAACGGCCGTTTCATCTTAGTATGGGACTCCTCAGTAGTGCGTATCCACGATCCCACCCTGTGAGATTTGAACTCAGGACCTATCAGTCTTGCACGAGAACGATTAACCTCTAAACCACTGAGTAGGCCGGCATCCAACGGTGTTAATGTCTAACTTCAACTAATCCACAAAATTGAGCGACACATCCACCATTGTCATCAGTGAGTTACTATATCACAACAGACACGGTTGAACTCCACTGGTCACTGCTTCTCACTAGATTCCCAGGATATACATAATTATCCTTATTTCTTTTTATTCAAAATAACAGTTTTTATTACATGAGTTTTGTTATAACACTTGGAAATTTTGATGTCTAACTATCATTATAGTATCCCTTATGTAGATAAAAAATTATGCCTTATGTTGTTCTTTTCTGGATTTTATCAGTGTTAACACCTATATTCACAATCATTATCTAAGAATTTTAGTTGGACCGAGAAGTGTTTTCTTACTAATAAATACCCTTAAGTTGATTTAGATCTCGATTGCATACCGGTTTACTAATTTGTCTTAAAGTATTTGTCAGTATGTAGATAACTAGAAGATAAATATCAATTACTATTTCATCAAATAATATAGATCACTGTGAAATTTTACCGACGAGATCTAGTTGATAGTATACGAGAAACCATTTTATTGCCCGATTCTCATTACTAGTTAGTAATTTAGTTAGAAACTCCGCCTGGAGCCCCTGCAGGGCTACTGCCGGCCCCAATCCCGGATAAAGGAGGAGGGTTGTAATGGGGTTAGCGACCCCATCACGTGCAAAACTAACTCGCTAAAAAAACGCCAACCAAAAATTTAGTTCAAATATATATGCGTTTTCGAAGTTCTGTTAATGTATAGTGAAAGCTACAACACAGTAATAAAGAGATTATGTACATAATTAAAGTTAGAGATAGTTAATCGACCAATTGGACCATAAATGCTTATTGATAGTGATGATCAAAAAATATGTAAGACATGCACATTCATTATCTACGTTTGCGTACATATAAGTAATTGGGAAACGTTAGGTAATATCAGGGTTTACAGTTGATTCATTTAATCACTGACCTTTTTTATGAGCCATGACAGTAATACACACTTCAACAAGACAAATGAAATACTTGGTAGCAGTTAAACTGCCATTTTATGTACATGAAATGGAAAATCCAACATAATAAATGTCAAGTGACTGAGCGCCATTGTCTGCTTCTAAACCAATAGAAATCACTTACTGACTTTTAAAACCGAGGTAAATTATAGCTGAGCAAGATTGAAAGCAATCTGTTTCCAAACTTATAAATTGAATTTAAACCTTTTTATAAAGATAATTTTCAATATAGTGCAAATATTTGAAGTTGTTTAGATATTACTTATTTTGAAAATATTTGAAATATAGAAACCGTAACCACTACCGAGGAAATGACATGCGATTCCACTGTTGAAAACTTACTATCCTTTATGTTTCACTATGTTTGGTATGTTTATAAGTACAAATAACAATTTTGTTCATCCGATTTATTTGCTGTGATGTGTATATGTAAACTATCAAGTAAAACTAGAAATAAGTAGTTCAAAAATCTGTTTAGTTTTAGCTTCCCCGACAAGAAGTTTGTTTGATATAAAAAGAAATGTACTTCACATACGAGATTTTGTTTCAGTCAGTGCTTTTTTTTTCTTTTGGTTTATAGTATGTGTATTCGGTTTGTCAATGGATACAGAGACTGAAAATAAACATGCAACTGCGCTTGAAGCAATGCGAGATATACAAAAGTATTATGAAGATGCAGAATTTTAGCTTATCAATTGATTACTTATTATACATGTACAGTTGACAACTACATATCATTTTTCTCATATTATGATAATTGTGAAAGCTTATTTCTAAAATGTGGATAATGTAAATAAAAATTATTATATTTTTATTTACACGCTATGTATAAATTTGTTTCTTATTATTTCATCGGAAAAATTTGAAGATAATACATAAAATGAAGAAAACAATTCTCTTCCGGTAGCTCATATTCAACCGGATTTCTTTTATGCATGTTATGTAGAGAATCTCTTTAGTTTACCTAATCATAGTATGTTAGTCAATGTGAAGATAACTAGTCTACACATTGACGACTAGAGTCTTTTATAATTCATTCTAAAACTCTAGGATTTTTAGCCTTTATACTTATTGATAAACTTAACATCTTTTAGAGCATGTGTGACTAGTTTCTTTTTCCAACTCAATTAGTTTGGTTATTGTTCCAGAATATTCAACTGATATAATGGTCAAACTGAAGATTTATTTTGGACTGACGTCAGGTAATGTACCGTTGAATTAACTGGAATTTTGATATTAAACCATTATATAAAAAATTAAATGCTTCCTGGTCGTCGATAGATATAAAAAAATAATCGGTCTACGACCAAAATTATTCTCGAACCGGTTTAGTGTTCATAAACTATTAAAACTAACTAATGATCACTCGTGGAAATAAATAACTTTTGAAACACAAGTTCTGTTTTTCTATTTTTCGTAGTATTTTAATTTGTGTTAAGTTGATAAATAATGGCAGTATTATAAATTTCTTTGAATTATTTATTGTTGGGTAGCAATTACATATGCTTAAATTCACCCTTACAATTTAATTGGTTTTCTCCATGTGCGGGTGTGAGTAATATTCGGGAAAGCTGGTTAGTCAAAAACCATATTTTTCCACAAAGCTGTAGATGTGTTTGGAGCCCTTAGTAAAAGTTCTTAAAAACCAAGAAGACGCTGAAAAAAACCTCGAGTAACCAGTGCTACTCAAAAGCTCAAATGAAGATTATTGAACAAAAGAACAATATTCTTACTGTCTTGGATGGACAGTTGTCGAATTCACCATCGATTTCAGCACGTCCAACTGTAGGATCTAGAAGCTCTTGGTTACAAATAAATGCCCTCGATTCCGATACACAAACTGACCTTCAAAGTAAACTCCTTCCATACTCCTTGCCTTCTCTTTCTCGTTCACGTTTTAAGAAATGAGACGCTCGAGTACTGAGAAGTGGTTAGGAATTCGTCGCAAATAATCAGACTGGTGCAACTTGTAATCATCAACATGGAAAGACGTCCTTATCCTTCAGAAATATTCATACTAATGAAGATAAAATTATAATTTGTATCACTATTGATGAAATCGATTCACGTATAGTGAATGTCAGAGAGGCTTATGCCAATCTGGGCCATCTTTGGCGCTTTCATGATGTCAGTCTGGTTGTAAAAGGCCGGATCTACAACGCGTCGGTGAGAGCATTTTCACTCTATGCTTGTAACACCTAGTCTCACCGGGTTGAGGATGTTAGACGACTCTCTGCGTTTAATCATCGTTGTCTCCGAAGGATTGTCGATATCCAGTGGCAGCACCATGTTAGTAATGCAGAGGTTCGGCATCGTGTGTTCGGGCGCAGAGACGATAATCAAATCAGTGTCACCATCTTGAAACATCGACTTCAGAGATGATGTAACGCAGTGGCTGGAGACGTTATCAGATATGGCTCAGAATAAAAGCCAGTGCCGATCCCGCTGTAACCTTCTTTTACTTTCTACATAAAATGTGACCGTAACTTCCTTAACTGAAAGAATTCTTTCTGCTTGTACCCTCCGGTTCCCCCCATTATTATCATTATTGTACTACCACGCACTAATCTGTGGTCGTTATTGTTCTCTTTTTTCCTTTATTCCCTCTCATACTGACCTTATATTCTCTTTCTCTTCCCATTCTCATCGTCATTGTGTAGCGCATGTATATCTGGTGCCCCCTTGTACCAATATTTATGTGTTCAAATAAATAAAAATAAATAAATAAACTATTGAAACCCGGTTTTAAAGTTTTTTGCTAGAAAAGTAAGCTTTTCCGACTCTCAAGCAGTTAAATGATATTTGTACTATATGGTTTAACTAAATGCAATTACTGGTACTTATCATAGTTTTCCGTAATGTATATAATGAAGTGGATTGTGTTCCGTGGTTGTAACAATAATAACTTTCGTAATAGTATATATAGTATGTTGTTGCATCACCTCATTCCTTTTGTATTATTATTAGCATTTGTGTTTATATTTACTGAAAGCTGAAATATTATGTTCGCGTTTGTGGAATATGGTATTTTAAAATATTCTCAGTTTAAGTGACATTCTCGTGGGGGGGTGAATGGTCTTCAGAGATCAGTAATTCAGGACCTGTTCGACAATTGGCGTTGACCTTGTAATAAACTAGATTAAAATGTATGATCAGGCATCGAAACAGTTTTGTTAACCACTAGTGCAGATTTCACACCTAACCCGATAAAGATTTTCATATTTACTCAAGATGGTGTCGGTCCACACAAAATATTGGGTTACATTACATTGGAGGCATTGTTAGATTATCCTGAATTCAGCTGTATATAAGCTATCAGACATCTTCTGTGAACTGTTTCACGTAAATATGGGTGCCTGTGTCTAATGTAAAACACGAAGAGAGATATTTCCTAGGGTAATCAGGGTGCAAAACTAGCAAAAATAAAATAAAGAGTTTTAGAAATCTTATTTTGACTTTTTAATCAGCTTTATATTATTTTAGAAGTTCTAAACAAAGAAAAACGAGGGATCAGCTAGTTTTAAGTAAATATACCCGTTGTCCTGTCGTTTATCATTAATATTTAATCTGTTTGTAGTATCAAGGTCTTACAATTTGTCGTTTAGTCAGATGTGACGTAGAATTTGGCATATTTGTACGTCAGTTTACCATACCACATCAGCACAGAGAGATGTGAGAGTAGTATATGTAGTACAAGTATTAGTTGCAATATAAAGGATATTTGGCAATGTGAACAAATTGAATACATTATTAGCTATATTAAAACGTGAACATTTTTATTAGTTTGGCATATTCGTTCAATGTTCTTTTTCAACTTTGTAGGTGCATATAAAATTCAGTGTTATGTTGCTTTATAATTATTATTTAACTACCAAACCTTTGGCAGCTAAACGCATTTTTGGTCGCCTCTCAGTGTACAAAGTGAGCATTATCATAAAAAATATACCTAATGCTAAAACAAACGGCATCATTATTTGAATAACTGGTGTTAGCTTTGATAAAATCCTTGCTAAAGAACTTTGTGGCAAAACATCTATATAAATTATACCTGACCAATCAGGATAAATATCTGAACCATTGGGAATCGAGTACGCATCACCATGTATGCATATTAAACTATGTAATTCTTTATGCTGTGTCTTGTTCAGTGATACGGTCTCAGCTACGATAATATTATAAGCTGGATCAATTCTATATCGTCCACGTGTTTCACGTATTAATGTTGTAAAATTGACTTGTTTTAATGTATTAATTAGATATCGTAATGGTGTTTTATATTGAATAATAGTAGTGAAATTATATGCAGTTTTAATTAACTTCATTAGCTCATCAAAATTATCTGGTGCATAGAGCCACGTTATTGGTTTTTCTACTGAATTCCTTATTGGGCATGTGATTATGAGGGGTTCACCTTCATTTACTTGTATCGCGATTCGTTTAGGAAGACGTGACAGTTTATTGAAAGGTGATTTGGACAATGTAGTAATATTGCTAAAATGAGCAAAAATATATGCATAGATTAACATAATTTTCACTGTGTAAAGTAGATATTGTAAATAATATGAATAGACCATTGAATCGTTCTAAATCGTTACACAATCTTTCACCCTCTACTACGTTTTAGTTGAATATCTACTGGAAAACTCAAAACAAGTATTTCGTAGTAGTACCTAATAAATGAAGGATACCATAAAGCTAGTTAGTGTGTAGCGAACAGAATGGATGAGAACATACTTCACTCTGTAAACTAAATTCGCAAGAATAATGTCCTTTTTATCAAAGTCTGTTGAACTTTATGTGTAACCTGACATGAGAAAATAATGAATAGGGTTTGGATATGGGAAAGTATCACTTATTGTAGCCTGACAGCTAACATATATTTGAAACGTTCTACCACTTTCATAAACAACTAACTAACCAAATAAATAACCTTTCTCCGCCATTTTGTCACTCTTCTTTCTTTATTCTACAATATTTTACTTCTACCGTACCGGACATTTCTTATCCTACTTAATTTCGATCCCAATCCTATTGTATTAACAGTCGCACTGTTAGCCTTAATGCTCATATTTAGGTTCGAATTTGAATACTATATGTTTTACTAGTTTCGTTGAAGATTTCATTTTCAACTTAGTCTTTATGTAATCGTGAATCACTGTAGTTATAATAATCAACACATTCTTAGTTATACCGACATTATAAATACTTCTGTTTTGTTTTTGAACTACTTAACATTAGTGTATCAAACCTATTCTATATATACCTCTCAAGTTGTATTTTAAAAATTGTTGCAACTTTTTAATATAGCACTGTGTAAATGTAGGATTTAATTTTACTTAATACTTTGGTCTAACCACGGAAACCTTGAGGATCTTACTCGAGACTTTAAATAAACTTTTGTAAAATACATAACCAACCAATGAAATCAGTCACATATTTCAAGTTTTATTTACATTTGAAGCGCACTTACTTAAAACCTGGACATTCCCTTATACATGATCTTATCATTAGTTCACTCGGTCTCAACTTAATTTCCTTTGGTCCGTATTTCAACATCGAACTCCTAATTAAGTGAGAACGGCAAGGCAAACCTGGTCCACTGAACAGTTTTAAAACTTCTTCAGTTTCAACAGCCAACATATGTGGTCTGATTGAGTGGAATCGATCAATGGGTGTGACGTGACAAATACCGATTCTTATTTGCATGCCACTTTTAGTAAGTGAAGAGTTTTCTTTTGGGGTGCATGGCACACACTCTGACCATGAATTCCAGTATGTATGTAGTTTCAAGTTATTTTTGATCAAATGTTGTGTAACTAAGGATTTCAAGTCGTCATCATCACCATTAGATGTATTTCCTGAAATTAGTTCCGGTTTCTCTTGGATAATTTTCAGCCGTGAAAACAGATTTCGAAATGGTTCGTCTCCAGGTTTTAACACTGTTACAGACCATGCTCTAATTACTTCTCCTTTGAAAATGCACCTGTAGATTCCTGCATGCTCAAATTTTGCATTTTTTATGCGAAGGATAGTTTCACTAAGATGAGTACTTGTTGTACTTGTTTTTATCACGCTTGTCGGTTGACCAGGCTTAGTAACCGTAAAATATAATGATGACAAATTTCGTGCTTTTAAGTTAGCCTCTGTGGTAACTTCTGCTTTCAAGTGACCATCATCATATAGCAGAGGGAGAGCACTTAAAAGCGAAGAGATGTTTTGCCAAATTCGTTTGCGTAACCTGGCAAAATAAGCAAATTTATAACAGTCGCCTAAATCAGTTTGAACAAATAAGGATTATATAGAATATGTGTGTAGTGTGACACTAGATAGTTTTGAATTATGTTGTGGAATTATTAGTTCCTCTTAGTTACAACACGCAGTACCTTCCTAACAACGATAAAGACAAGTCTTAGGATATTTTAAAACGTATGTATCGTTAACTAGCGTGACGCCCGTATGTTACTCTGCCTTACAAGGTAGTTTTTTATGAAATAAGACATTTGAAGATGAATTTATTAATGTAAAAAACCACAACTAGTACGTAATGGTACGCGACACATTCTTATTATTTTGTAGTAACTTGTTTATTCATTGATATACGGAAAAGCGCACAGCAGTAACAGAAAGATGTAGAGGTATCATATAGTTGCTATGGCTCTCAAAATACAAAAGTATGCTCAAATACTGGTGATACGATCTCGGTTAACTTCTAGCACACTAACTTGAAACCGTTGCTAGAATCAGAGGATACGCAAATATACATGCATGCTAGCAAAACACTGGTTTTTACACTGACCTATAAAACGTTACCGCACGAAATTTTACCACGGTTAAGTTTGAATCAAACATTTTCCCTAATCAAACATTACTAATATGATTTAGTCATCTAATTTATAAGTAGTTTGAGGTAAACTATCGCAGGGATCGTAAAAATTGTCCCAGTCAGTTTTATGGATGGACTGATGGCAACCGTGTATGAAGTTAGATTATGTTGACACTCTTTGGATCGCTATCCTACCTTCATCCTCCTCATTATTATTTCAAAAAGTAATCACGAGGCCCCGTTATTTTCTTTACCAAAGAAACTTGAAGTTCGAATACATATATGTAACAATGAAGTTTTAAAAATATTGTACCGTACCTTATCCATAATGATAGACAATGATAAAAATTCATTGAACCAGTCAAATATTCTAAACTTTTGGAATTAACGGATACCCACAAGCTATTTAAGACAATGTCACAGAGCATCAGGCAAGGTTTTAACATTCGTAAGCAACAAAAGAGGAACTTAACAAATAAAGCGAAAGATCGTATTTAGAATAATTTTATTTTGGGGAGGAATGATAAGTCATCCGAGTCGAATCACTGTTTCGATTAATGTAAGATGGTTTCAAAAATATAAATGTGCACCTCTTGTAATATTGTTTGATCTTAGTGTAAATATTCTAAGCTACTTTCTAATTTGTGTATAATTCACCCATTGTAAGTGTAAATAACGAGTCATTGAAAATAATATTCAATCCAAAAATTTTAAGTTATTCAAGTCTACACCACCTTTAATTATTGTACGTCATAAAAGGCATACCTGGTTTGTGAGTTCAAGCCTCACAGAAAAGAGATAGGTAGAGTTAATGTCTGTACTTTTTTCACCTAACTTTGTTTCTTAATACAAGTTCAACCGGCACTTCGTTTCCAACAATGAGACAAGCGAGTAATAGAATTTTTCAGGAGATAGTTTTGAGCCGTTCGTTATTTGTTGGAGCCACCCTCCGAATAGCGTAGTTAGTGTTAAACAAAACTGGTGTCTCAGCACAAGCTCACAGATGTATATTGATTTTTATCATACGTTACATTTTCATTGAGGTCCGCTCACGGTCAGATCGGAATGGGTAACACAGAACCCGTGCCAGAATGCACAAATCACTAGCTCTGAACACATTATCTCTGGCCAGGACAACGGTCAAGTTTTACAAGAACTGTTACAGTAATTCCTTACATGGAAGAGCTTATTAACCCATATGATACCTTACTCTGTCAACTCTTAGACTTGATTATCAGACTGCCTTGTTTTCATGTTTGACTTATTTCTGTTTATCGCCCATTCCTTTCATCATTAGATGCACACCCATTTCGTGTGCTTAGTCAGTCGTTTTGTCACATTTCCTCTCGTTTTACTCTGTTACGAACTCTCTAACACACACAGTTACACCCCCTGCCTGAGCACACAATATGCCTCTAGTTCGGACATAAACTTACTAAAGGTCAGGCGTCACATTATATACTCTCTTAAACAACATCCTGGATATTTTATTTGTTTGCTCGGTTTATATGAAATACCAATTTACATATTATTTTATAGAATAAAAACACTACCGCAACCGGAAATGACTTCTCAATTTGTAATCGAAATAAAAAGTATGAAGTTAAGAGTACATACCGTAGACGAATACGTTCCAATGAGGTAGGATACGGAGGTACAAATAAATTAGTATCACTGGCATAATGACTTTGAATACTAGTTGTTTCCACCCTCGGGATCAACAAACCACTTTTGACAACGCCAAGCTCGCACATTTCTTTACCTTTGAAGCATTCGGAACATACATTGCAACTTAAAATAAGTCCATCGCCTTCTGAAAGCAAATAACTTTCGTAAACAGTTCGGTGAAATAAGCTTGAGCAATTAAAATGAACGTCCGAACTTTTGTAAAGTATAGAATGAATGTGCGGTTGAAGAAAAATTGTTAAAATCAAAATAGTATCAATCGGTAATGAAAATTCGCGAAACAACATTCTACCCGGTCGTAAGAGAACATTAACTTATGATAACTTTTGGATTGTTGTAATAATATCAAAATTCAATCTTCAGTCGCGATGAGGTGGAACAAACAAACAGAACGTTTTGGGCCAAGTGGACTTGAGATGTTGGAAAACTTTGGTTTGAAATTTCTGTCTGAGAGCAAATTTAAGTCTGAAATTAGTCGTCACACAATTGTATGACAACAGAATCGAACCTAAAAAAAAAAGTGATAGATAATAGCGACAAGTATTGAAAGCTAGATGTACTATCGAAGAGATAGTTAACGTAAACTTATTTTTTAATCAGTTTTTGTTGTAATTCACTCTTTTCACTAATTCTCTTAATGTTTAGGATTGTAATTACCGGATTTAAAATCAATGTAAAAAAATAATAATACAATCTTTGGTTTTTAGTTCCGATTTAGTGTATTCACGCTCGCAAATACACTTCTGCATACACTGGCCACTCCAGTTTCTGAATAAACCAATCTATTCATTACTCCCAAGTCATATTTTGACTATGCCACTTATTGGCTTATTGGCCCTGACTGTTCTTATGTAATCGTATGAACGCTCGTTGTTTATCCTATCCATTATATGTCTGTAACTTATTTTCCATCTGACTACAGATATTGAGTAACGCTTGAATAAACTGAGTTGACCTTCTTGCCGTCTTTACTGAGCGGAATTTCACTTCATGCTCTCCTTTTTTGCTTTCTCCACTTCTTTTCTCTAATTGTCTGTTCAGGTCAATAGGTTTACGAAATATACGAGTTAAAACTTCATTCTCGCGTTTGACTTGTGTTATTCCGTTATTTTCTAACTTGGATTAAGTCTATAATTATATACGAGGGTAGCTGGCATGTATATTTTGATGACAATCAGCATACGATCTAACTAAAATTTGATAAAGGGCTGTAGCTGGTACAGTTGGTTATAATAATAATTTTTATTAAACCAGTCGTGTTCTCGTGATAAATGTAAGTCACTACAGGGCTATTAAACTATATTAACCCTCGAAAACCCAGGTCGTATTATGTTGCTTGAGAAGCATTCGCACAAGCGGCTGAAAATGTGTCCCATTTGAGAATTTCAATGGTCGACATCTCACTAAAGGAAATAAACCTCGAGAAGTAAATAATTTGAGATAGCTCTTTAAAATTTTTGAGGACATCTTCTTGGTTAGAAGTTTCAGATCGACAAACCACATAAGATACGATGAATTATTCTTAAGCGTGAGTTGATTCAACATTAAATCACCTTAATCTACTACACAACTAAGCAAATAGGTCCATTAACAACTGACAGCTCAGACATATCTTCCGCAATGATAGGCAATATCCTTTGAGTACGTTTAAACGTAGACTTTTATATTTAGACAGAAGACCGAGCAATCTAACATACGCATACTTTTTTAGAGCCAAATAAGTCCCTAAAATAAATGACTTCTGCAAATAATGGACTTTGGTTCTGACCTTGTCAATCTTACGGGACTCTAGCGGTAGGCATTAGGCCAAGCATCACTGCTAGGTTGTCTTTCAATCTTGTAGGGGACCTACTAAGTCAAGACAGATGTGGCAAAAGCGAGTGTCAGACTTTAAAGTGAGCTTAAGGGACATTTTCGATCTAATCAACTCGGATTTCTGATAGCTTAAACAAGAACGCTTCTATCTTCTCCCAGTCTTGCTCACATCAGCCCAACAAAATCGCTCTGCAATGAGGCGTCTGTAGCCACATTGTTAACTCCGGAACTATTCTGCATATCTGAGGCAAACTGAGAAATGTAGTCCAGTCGTCCAAACTTTCGAATGGAGAACTTCTCTGGGGATGACCGTAGGGAAAAGGCGGGAGATTGACGGCCATTAAACAAAGTGAGTTCTTGGCCGTCCATGGTGTCAAAAGTGCCGTACATCACAATACATAGATAGGGGTTCCCTGCTGAAAGTACTGCACCTCGATTCATTGTCTTGCAACCATATCGAGAAGAGTGCCAATGGTTTTCAGTTGCTACCCGCCCGTTGTTGTAAGACTCTTCTTATTCTCTAACCGGAATCGTCTATGGAGATATTGATATGTGCTTCAATATCCTGGTGTGTGATTGTAGTTGATTTCGAGATACTTCCCTCAGATGAAGAGAATGCTTTCATTGCGTTGTCGTCCGAGCACGCAAGTTTCGCATTTCCACGTATTGTCTGTTTACGGTCTCTTGAGAGACACCTGATTCGGTGTGGACCGTTGTTTAAAACTTACCAGGCCACTAAAAGTGCGTGATTGCCTGCCTGCAGTTGTCTCCGAGCAATCCAGAATGACTACCGCTCTATTGTACAGAGAGTGGGTACCTTGGATGTCGGTAGTGTGTTCGAGGAAATGCAGGAAATTGGTTCCAATCTGACAAATCTGAATGTCTGTGTTATTGCTGTTTTCTGTTGATGTTAGTAAACAAGTTTGAGATGTAAGAGGTGGGATTCCGTGTATACAAGTGAATAAATTAAAGACCGCTATATACATCATCATAAAATCGTTTTTTTTAATTTTTGGAAGCACTTCTTAAGTCAAAATGGGTACCTAAAATTATATAGAGTTTCAAAACGTGACTGTAGCCGTTTTACGAATGTCTTTCGAAGCTACAGGTAATTAGTTATACTATTTAACCAAGTCGATTTTTAAAAATTCAGTCGTACCTTTTAGGTAGCTGTTATGTCCTGAATGTACGGCGATAAGTAGTGATAGTTACTGTTCATATTAAATCGTCTTCAACCATGAATCGGCTTCAAATACTGGTATTATTTTTACGGGCCAAATGCAACGGGAAAGCACATAGGCTGACTGATGACCATCTTATTCCTATATCCATTATTTGATCAAATTCGTTTTCTAACAGCTTTTCTAGTAATGTCGGTTGTCGTTCGTATGATTTGAGATGCTTATCGAGCACCAGTCGTAAGTATGAATTAGTTTTATGTTTGTGTATGCCTTAAATTATGATCTCCTTTGGTATTCGTATTATTATAATAAGAGATTTAATCCATAAATTGTAGATTTGTCTTGACGTGACTACCTAATCTAAATGACCTTAGGTGGAAGTTAAATTATCGTCTACATTGGCTCGTCCTATCACGACGCTGAGCGATATACATCTAGCATTTCCCAAGAACACATTTGAGCTGGGAAGGGATTATTACTTTTGATACAACTGGCAAGTGGTTATAAAAAGTGGCCACGCCCTAATAACTGAGCCATGACATTTCGATTCTTTGTTGCCGCGTTCACTATTGCTGACCTGCTCTTAATGTTACGTCTTGATTGGGTATCTTCTCAATAGTTATACGCTCAGCTTCAAAGATCGTGTGATAAGGAACCAATACCAGTAAAATTTTAACTAAGAAATGAAGTTCGCCAAACATATAATTTAGCATTTTTACAAACTAACCTCCGTTCGCTTGGACCGACGGGTAGTTCATGGAATAATAGCAGCCTTGTACCAGTGATTGGCACTCACACATCTGTAAAAAATTATAGGGAATGGCTTTACGTAAATCTATATTGAGGCAAACGTGTCGTTCACCTCATGTGACGATCGTTTTATCATTTGGCTTCTAAAACTGATGGCCGGATCATTCAGACGATAGCTATTATTCACAGGAAGGGCGCCAACTACTGGGCCACTGTCGACGAAATGGCGAACTTTCCTCATCCCGTCAGTGATATAAAATAGATGGCTATATCCACCGGCTACGGCCACGATTAACGCGTACCAGCGATGAAGGACTTCAGTATCTTTTGCTGTCGTACTGAATGTTCAAAAAATAAGTTGTACAATTACAGATATTAAAAATTTCGTTTGACATTGATTAGGGCCTGTCTTTTGTAGAACAAAACACGGCTCTGGTGTTATGGTGATTTCCGGAACCCGTTCAGCAGATGCGGCCAGTTTGTCTACAGTGTTGTTTCGGAATTAAACAATGGAAGCTATCACCTGTTTGATAAGCTTGGATTAAAAGTTTGTATCAGAAGAGCTTCACCTAAGATTCGTTAGCTAACAGCCTGTCGCGCATGTAGCAACACTCACTTTGTCAATACGTGTCACAATTCCATGATATCGGTCCAAGAATTAATGAATGCAAAGGAGGAGGCGAGGGTGTCTTAATCAATAAAATATCAGTTGTCTACCCCAATACTGTAAGAATAAAGTCCCTAGATATACGAACAGATTCAAAGACACAAAACATATCACATCATTTAAAAATATATGCAGAAAGCACTGGCAAGGTAATGACTAGAACTGTATTGTTTGGTAAACCAAATCACGTCGAAGCTTGCCGCTGAAGATGTTACGGAGATTCACTGCTCGACAGCTCTGCTGTTCTAAACTTCCCCTATTACTGGGACCTCAAAGCTGGTAAAGTTATAAGTCAAGAATGAAGAGTTGCTATTGTGTATTAAAAAATGGTATAAGTAATACAGTTTGACTATCTGTTGTAAGAGGAGAGAATCTAGCTTTGCCCGGACGTGATCTGATGAGGTTAGTTTACCAAGCACTCTCATCAATTTTTCTTACAGTCAAACCAGTACGGTCAATAATGATGTAAAATTCTTGTAAAACCGTTGTTTCTGGGGCGTTTTACCACCAAGCATGTTTTAATAACTCGTGTAATCAAAGCAGGTACAAAACGTTATAAACAAAGTTACCCCCTGTAGCCAATAACGAAGGTGGTTTTCAACATTTTAGTGAAGATTAGGAAGGAGTTATTCAAGTACCTAACTGAACATCTAATACCCTCAGAAAAGCAAAGTCATTTTAGGGACAGCTTTACGCTTTTATTGAAATAATGAACCGTCCACAGTCGGACCACCATTGGAAACCTGGAAGCACTTCATTGCTGTTTCGTCCTAGTATGGGGCTTCTCAGTAGTGCGCATCCACGATCCTGCACAAGGGACTCCAAACCAGGACCTTCTGTCTCATGTCGAGTGTGAGTTAGTTACTCAGTGAAAATAGTGGAAGATAGTTGCTCAGTATCGTGAGTTGATTACGACTCATTGGTCTCTAGGCTTAGTGTTCGTGCGATACCGAATGTCCTGTGTCTAAGCTCCTCGTGCGGGCTCGCGGATGTACTCTGCTGAGGAATCCCATACTGGTACGAAACGAGTACAGTGCTAGTAGGTTTTAAATGATGATATAACACTGATCAGTTCATGGCTGCTATAAACACTCAATAACCTCCACAATCTCATGCTTTTAATTTTAAGCCGTAAGACTGAAAAACACTGCATTGTTGTATCTTTTTTACCACATCGTGAGACTAGTTGGTATTTTATAGAGCAATTACCATCAGGTCAATGAGAGTGAAGACAACACACCATAGAGCGCTGCAATATGAAAAACATATGAACATGAAATAAGGTCTACTAGTCAGAGTCGGTAGTTACAACGCGCATTGATCCTTGGATGTAGAGCGCGGCTACTGTGTTTTTTGCGTTGTAAGACAATTGCAACATCATCGATTTTAGTTTCTAGTTTCATTTGCCAGACTACCTTCAGTCAAAGTTTGAGTGCTGGTAGTTGTTGTTAGTTTTAAATGTAATTTATGTGCCTAACGAGTTGTCTGTTCACTTTTCAGATTCAGATTTGTGTATAAACAAATCAATCTGAGAAATCCTTACTATAGTAAGGACAAAAAACTTACGGAATGTGTTAACCCTTTTCTAGTAATCTCCTGAGTGTCTAATTTCTTGAATGAGTCGATTAAACGGGTGGACAACACTTCGAGTAACACGTCCCAAGGATTGATGATTGGCTTTTCTACTTGTCTGATATGTCCTCTGAGTTATCCTGATCTGGTAAGAAAAGAAGGAGAAATATCGGGTCCAAAATCATTTCTTAGTGTCCTGTATCAAAATCAGATCGCCTGTTAATGTGCGATAGGACAAAGTGGTCTAGCTTCCTAAGCCGCCCTTTGTATGGTAAACCCTGGAGTTGCATGGGCAACTGCCCCCTGTACCTTTTCCAAGATATCTGAGTCACCCTTTAAACAGAGATTGGCAGCCTGAGCGCAGTTTTCAAGTTTGAATTTCCCTAAAGTTGTGTATACTGTAGTGAACATATCAGTATCTAACTTTGTAAACGTCAGCCTTAAAGCCCATGGGGTTGTAAACCCCGTAGCTGCGACCCCACAGAAGTGGGCTTCGGTCTTAAAGTCATGGCTCACTATCACCCGAACATCGTTGTGAGGCCGGAATACAGCTACAGACTCCCCCTCTATGCCGTACCTAGTTTTCTAAGTGAGACCATAATTTGTGAACGTCTTTTGAACGCTGCCAAAGTGACCCTGAGAATGTCCACCTAATCAGCAGGTATAAGTGAGTGTTATAAACTTGTGTGAAAAATAAGGATTCTGATTTACAATTGATAGTTAGGGCTATGAATCACATTTAGGGTTTTCATCACGAACTGACATCATCTAAAATGCCAAAACGCTATTTAACCGAATGGTTGAATGAATTTCACGCCGAAACCTGTTGCTTTAAGTCTGATTGGTTCGTCCTTAAATCACAGTCTTGCCGTCTTTTTTTTATTACTCCCTTCAGATTCCTGCACTTAACTTACCTCCAATCCAGACGGAAACCTGTCAGCAACTGAATGCTTTAGCATCATAATGGCAGGAGTAAAATTTATTAGAGTTTGCGAAGATGATAATGAGAGTCCCATTGAGGTACCGATTGAAGATGATGGCACAGTACTTCTTGCCACACTAAAGTCCGTGTTTCCAAAGTCAACTGGTCTCAAGTATTTAGCTCCTGATTCAGGTTGCCTGAGGGGTGTAAGGCTTAATGATGGAAAACTCTATGCCCCATCAGATGGATGGGTGCATGTTTATCAGTGTGCATTACCTAGAGGTACCTTTATCTTTGTGTGGTATTCCGTAATGATATATAGAAAATAAGCGAAAAGGTATAGAAGAGAAAGATACTTACAGTTCGAAGTTTAAAAAGCTGGAGGAGAAGAAGTGCACAGACCTAATTGTTTTAAACTTGGCGTGGAAAACTGATGAATCCACACTAAAGGAATATTTCTCACGTTACGGTGACCTCGTAACAGTTCAGGTATTTGTTGTTGTATTTATCATGTCGCCCAGGTTAAAAGACATCCAGATTCCAATTTGAGCAAAGGGTACGGATTCATTCGGTATAGCGATATGGAATCGCAAATTATGTGTCTGTCTGAACGACATAGTATAGATGGACGCTTGTGTGACGTCAGAATACCCATTTCCAAGGTAAGGATGATGTTCTTACAAAATCCGTAGTTGGAAGGAGATCGTCAAGAAGTAAGCCGAAAGGTACATGTGGGTGGAATTACTGAGTCCATTACAGCCTCTGTGCTAAGAGATTACTTTTCACAATTTGGTGCAGTAAGTTGCATTTTCATTGTTTATTTTCTGATAGGTACTCGATGTATTTATTCCCAAACCTTTTCGTTCATTTGCCTTCGTATCATTCGAAGATCCTGAAGTTGCAGCGGAACTACTGGGAAAAGATCAAGTTATAGAAGGTGTTTGTGTGTCAATCGGCTCTGCAGTCCCCAAATTACACCCTCAGCAAAATCGAAATGGTCCTATATATCCTAATTCGCACTTTGGAAATTCGCACAACCCTTGGGGTATTTTGTTTGTACTGTAAATTCATCTCCTTTGCGTTTTAGCTTGGCAATACAACTCAGTAATGAATGGCCATGGTTCACGTGATTTCAACCCTGGTATGTATAATTCCATGCAAGGTTATAATATGGCGTCTCATTCACCATTCGGAAACAATTTTTCTTCATATCAGCGGCAATACAACTCATATGCAAACAGAATTAATATGTAGGGCTGGTATGTTTATCCATATTTATTGAAGTATTTGAAGTAATAGCTATTTTGTGATGACAATTCTTTCCATCATATTGCGTTACTTAATTTGTGTGAGCGCATTAGTTTTTTAGATATTTGGTCAAACAATATGTACCTATATTTGTATGTAAAACCGTGGAACACAGCCATTAACTCAGTAGACATGCCTAATTTTTTCGTATGTTTAAACAATCCAGGAATCAGTGGAGTGATTTTCAAGCTGTCGCCTAATACAGGTTGACCAAATGATGAAAGTATGACTGGGATTAATGAAGTGACCAACACTTATGATGCACTTAATTAGCTACCCCAGACCACATGAGAAATGAGGTGAAAAATTTCCCTAGTTAATTAACTAAGTTAGCATAGATCATAATATGTCTACGAAGTTGAGTTTATAGTATCATTTGAGTGTTCTTGATGATTATTATGAAATTTATGTTATCAGTCCAATAAATCTAAGTCAATTAAGTGCCTGAGCAAACCAATAATGACCGCCTTTAAGTGAAATGAAAGACGTTTTTATGTGATAAATGCAAGATTTGATTTCCGATCTGGAGAATCATTGCCTATTTAACTCTGCACAAGTATACCCCTTTATTGGTTGATGTAGTTATTGATGTATTCGTTCACCAGATACAGTTGGTGTTTTTAACGTAAAAGGCTTTTATCAAACTGAGATATTCTTAGTAAGGCTTTCATATTGATAGCTAGACATTTCCCCTGATAATAGAATTAATAATCTAAAGAAGTCTTGACAGTACATCTCATATGATTGACATTGATCCTATCAGTGGTATGGTTGTCTTTCACTTTGACTGGTCATTATTCACAACCTTTTAGTAATGTCGTGCTCATTGTGGTACAGAATACTTACATGTTGGTGGGGTGTATAGTTTATAAGTTTCAAGTTCTTGTTTCCAGTTTGTTGTAAGGCTTAAATAGAAAATAATCATTGTTACTTGTCTTTACATTTAATGAAATTCAGTCATCGAATATCTATTCGTATTCCCGACTTTGAACCTCACATTCTGGGTAAGCTAGTCTTACCAGCTGGAAAGGCCGTGTTTAATATCAGCTATGATAACAACACTACGCAACTCGCCACTAATCAGTGAGCGATCAGCCTCCGTAACCATTTTGTGCTTTCATGTATTTAAATGTCTATTGCTCTTGGTAAGATTGTAAATTCTCCATCCACAGTCACTATTGCTAGCGAAATACATAAACTAGTCAGTGCACTCACTTATTTCCTGTGCTCATTTGTTACTTCCTTACTCATGTTGCCCTTCCTGGATGGGCATAGACCGCCCACCAACACTCCATCTAACCTTGTCCTGGACAGTCCTTTCTAGTTGCTATTTATCCTTTTGGTGTCTCCTTTCAATTCCCGACGCAATGTGATCTTTGGTCTTCCTCTTTTCTGTTTCCCTTCACGATCCCAGTTCAGGGCTTGCCTCATGATGCAGTTTCGTGAAATCCGAAATGTATGTTCTGCCCACTTACAGCGTCTTTTCATAATTTCCTCTTCAGATGGAAGCTGGTTTGTTCTCTCGCACAGTAGACTGTTGCTGATGGTATCCGGCCAATGGATGTTGAGTATCTTGTGTAGACAACTATTCATGAATACTTGTACCTTATTGATGATAGTTGTAGTAGTTCTCCAAGTTTCAGTTCCGTAGAGTAGAACTGTCTTGACGTTCATGTTGAAGATTGTGACTTTGATACTGGTTGACAGTTGTTTTGAGTTGCATATGTTTTTCAATTGTAGGAATGTTGTCCTTGCTTTGCCAATCCTTGCCTTTAGGTCTGCATTCGATCCTCCTTGTTCATAAGTGATGTTCCCCAGGTACTTGAAATATTCCGGCTCTTCCAGAGCTTCTCCATCAAGTGTGATTGTGTTGGTGTTCTCTGTTTTGTATTTGAGGATCTTGCCTTTTCCTTTGTGTATATTGAGGCCTACTGCTGCAGAGGCTGCTGCTACACTAGTTGTCCTCACCTCCATTTGATGATGTGTGTGGGATAGAAGGGCCTCGTCATCTACGAATTCCAAATCTGCTGAATAATTTCGTGCTTTCCCTCAGATGTCGAGGTCTTCATAATCCAGTCGACCACCAGAAAAAAGAGGAAGAATGAGAGCAAACAGTCTTGTCTGTCTTCGATCCTCACTTGGAATGCATTTGTCATCTGTCATGCATACACGACTTGCACTGTATTCCATCGTGTGAATTACATATTCTTTTCAGGTACTCACTCCACAGTGTCAAAGAAGTTTTCATAATATTCTGTCCACACTGTCAAATCCCTTCTCATAATCAAGGAAATTAATGTATGGTGACGAGTTTCACTCAACTGATTGTTCAACGATGATCCGTAGTGTCGCGATTTGATTTGTGAGCAACCTATACTTACGGAATCCGACCTGTTGATCTCGAAGCTGGACGTCTACTGAATCTCTCGTCCGGTTCAGCAACACTGTCGAAAACCTTTCCTGGTACCAATAGTAGTGTGATACCTCCGTAGTTCTCACATTTACTCAGATCTTTCTTTGATATATTGGTGAGCTAACTTTTTTCCCAGTCTGTCGATGGCACTTATTCTTCCTCCCAAACCTTCTTGAATAGAACGTGGAGCATACTTGCAGTTGCTTCTATGTGTGACTTTAGTGCTTCGACTGGTGTACTTTCAGGTCCTACTGCTTTCCCACTCCTGATTTGTTTGATGGCCATCCTGATTTCTTCGCTCGTTGTTGGAGTGTCATCTATGGGAGTGTCTGTGTGTGTTGCTTCGATGTCCAGTGGAGCTGGTGCATTCAGGCGTTTCTCAAGGTGTTCTGCACATTTTTTCCTTTGCCGTTGGATCTCGATGATTGTCCTGCCTTCCTTGTCTTTGAATGGTCTCTCTGGTTACTGTATTTCCTCGCTAGTTTATTCGTTGTGTCATAATATGGCTATCTCATATTTCCTTCTCTTGCAATTTTTTCCGCTGTCGTTTCCAGCTCCTCCACATATTTCTGCTTATCTACTCTAATGTTCCTCTTCACTTGCTTGTTTGATTTCGTGTATTCAGCTTGCGCCTTGACTTTCTCTGCTCTTGTTCGGCTGCTGTTAATTGCTGTCTTCTTGTTCTTCCTTTGTTGAATCTTGTCCAGGGTATCGATAGAGATGCATGCTTCTTTGATCCCTTTCCAGTTGTTCTCTATAGTGGTAGTTTCTTCTTCTTTGAGCAGGTACTGTGAGGCTTAGAGCCTGTTGTTGAGAGTTATCTTGAGTTGGTTGTGATTGTTATTATCTCATATTAGTGTTGTATTGGACATTTGTACTGCTGTTTTCTCAGCTTTCCAGTATTTGCTTAGCTTCAGTTCAGTTTCATCCTGACCACAACCAGGTGGTGATCTGGTGATCAGCTCCTATCCTGGTTCTCATGTCTTCCATTGTCCTTCTGAATTTTTTATTGTCACAAATATGATCGGCCTGGTTCCCCGTGGTGTGATCCGGTAAGACAGATCCATATAGATTTGTATATGTTTTTTGGGGGGAATTTTGTGCCGCCTATAACCAATTTGTTTAATGTACATAAATTTGCGAATCTCTCACTACCGTCGTTCCTTTCTCACAGTCAGACCATGCCGTCCCACAATATCTTCATATCCAGTGCTGTCCATTCCTACTTTTGTGTTTAGGTCTCTGATCATGATGGTGAGGTGTTTTTTGGGTACTTCACTATGATTGATTGCAACCTCTCATAAAATTGATCTTTATTGATGTCATTGCTACCATTAATGAGCATATTGCATTGGATAATATTCATTGTTATTTCCACTTCGTTTTAAACGGTGCTTTGGTGATTCAGGATCCACGAGATTCCCATCCTATGAAAGCTTTCCGTGCTTCTTCGGACAGCATCAAAGCAACTCCCTGAGTGTGCGGAGCATTCTCCTCGTTGTAACCAGAGTACAGCAGCATCTCTCTCGAATATATCTTATTCTGTTCAGATCGAGTTCAGTGCGTTTCACTAATCCCGAGCTTTGTCAAGTTGTATCTCATTATTTCCGCAGTTATTTGGTTGGCCTTCTCGGTCTTCCACATTGTCCGAACATCCCATGTACTTATATAAGTTGTTGCTCTGGATGTTAGAAGGGGCATCGGCCTCGTGACATTCGAAGAATCTCGGTTTTCATCATCTGGCGTCATAATTCTTCCATCAACTTGTAAGGCAGAGTTTAAATAGTTTAAGTTGTGTATTCTGATTGGCGTCTTTTAGCTAGATTTCTTTCTATCGGATGGGGTTGTCGATCCCACGCCCAATCTTTCTTTTTCTGGGCTTGGGACCGGCAGTAACTCTAGAAGAGCTACAGGCGGAGTTGCTCATTTGTTATTATATATCAAAATACGGGACCAAACATGCATTGACTTTATTTTACTTTATACCCGAATAATAATTTGAACTTGAAGCAGTTTAATTTTAGTGAATATATCTTGTTGTATGATCGGGGGTCATATTTCATATTAATTAGATGGAAAAGCTTATAATTCTGTAACTTGAATATACAAAATCGGTTTAATTTCTCTATATTAACTCATGTCTTTGTCTTTGGTAGATGTAATGACTCACTGTAATGTTTTTTAAGATCTATAAGTAATGTTTCCTACAAATACACAAAATTAAGTTCTCTATATAAGCGTCATTTCTTCAAATGTAAACATTGTTCCAGATGTACAGCCAATTTTCTTATAGCGATATAAAGTGGTACCGTCTTCACTGTGAAAACAAAGTGATCTCAAGTCAGTTTTCAGATACTTTACCAAACTAGGCACCTACAAATAGAAAGGAGCATATATAAAGGTTAGATGTGGTGGATACTGCTAATACATTGATACTTCAAGTATATTGTGGCAAAAATATTCCAGGTGAATGCTCAAATCCATTATTATGTTCTTGCTGTACCATTTTATTGGCAGTTATCAATATAATAACTACTCAAATACTTCTTTCTTACTTATTATCCATAAAGATTTATGGTTTGATCAATACGTACTCTTAATTTTTTGTATTTAAAATTTTAATCTAATAAATGTGTATTTTCTAAATTTATTATTCATTTTCTCTTATTCATGTGGTTTTAATATTTAACGAAGTCGTTTGGGAGGTCTAAACAGAGGTTCTGTATATGCTGACACCCGTCAGTAAGATTTACCTATAATCTCGGAGAAACTTAATGATATTCAGCTCATAAGTAATCTATAATACCGGTTGCCAAAAGTAACTAATATCATACCGTATAATCTTTAGTATTTTGTTAACCTATTTTCACCTACTCTTTCTTTGTTTCCTTGTCAGTAATATAATAAATAAATGGTACTCTGTAATTGTATATTAGTTCAGCAATTGGGATAAAAGTCACCTTTAGTCAATGCTGTTATTTTGTATTATATTAAAGTGTCTTATTGGTTTATTGGCTAAATATCGTCGTCCACTGAGAAACAAAAGTTGATTCATTACACAAAATATGTTGTTTGTCAATTGTTACAATAAAATGAAGTGTGATTATTAGCTTCTGTATAATAAAAATTAATTTAACTTTGTTCGTTTTATCTATACACTCTTTCCAATTTAGCTTTGAACGTCTGTGTTTGTCTGTACAAAAAGAGTGAATCATCAGAAAGGCTACATCAAATTTTCTACTGAGTTTCTGCAATTGGTGCCACTAATAATAATGCGTGATGATGAATGAATGATGAATTGACCATGCACATAAATCACATTAAGTCTATATATTTATACTGTAATATATGTTCTCATAAGTATGCGTTTGATTGTGTTTATCAAAATGCGTTTGTTTTCTTAATGTAAAACTTAATGGATTTTATTGTACGTGTGTTAACACTTCCTTACGTGTTTACTTACGTTAAATGGCTATTCATCTTGATAAGCACTGAATGTTACCGAACTCTATTTTTATCATTGTGTGTAGCGTTTAATTTACATTTCCATACTAAAATGTTTGAATTGACTTCATTATTAACTTATATTTATATAATCTTTTTCTCAAAGAATATCGTAGCATCATCATAAAAATGCACTTATTTTATTACGTGTGTCTCTGAAAAAGAATCCAGCTACAAATAAGGTCATATACATCTATAAAATATTTTATGCTCGTAAATATGAAAACACATTGGAGAATTTTCTGTCCGCTTGCACACTGAAGGATTATACCCTTATCTTAAAAATAGCAAGTATCAAACATCTTTTTTATTTTATTCTTAAGGTGAATCACAAATTTTCTTGGTGCTTTTGTTTGCTTAAACTACTTTGGTGTTGTGACGTAGTAATGTGGATTTTGTTACTTCAAGGATTATATTCTGCACTTAAACCAACTCAATAATTAATATGGCTGAAAAAATAATACTAGTATGTAACTCATTTTATTTTCAGTGTAAACAATAGTCTTCAGCAATATTAAGCTATCGCGTTTTGGGGGTTCGACTGAGCAATAATTAAATATTTAGACAGTTTGTACACCTAATTTCGTGTATTAAAAATGAAGCGCAATTAATTCTTCTGGGTGTGATCATGATTGATTTGATTTCACGACCAGTACTTTTTTTCAGTTTACAGCTAACAAAGTAAGTGATGTAAGTAAATCAGGTGTTAGTCATCCGACTAAATCTTTAATGAGCGTTCATCTTCCAATTCATAGATGTAAGAATTCAGAGCGCAAAGCATTCTCCCAACAGTGTAATATGGTTGACTGTTCATCAAACCGATCCTAGATTGGGTAACTTTGTAATGTCAGATAACCGAGCTCCCCCAAAATTATCATTTACTATTTTTATACTTTCTTGTACATTTTTATCTAACCTGCTTAATCCTCCATCTAATCAACTTCAGATGTCATGTGATGAATTTTATCGTGATATTAAGCATCATGGTAGTACAGCTCAGGATACCAATCTCACTGTAGTACTCAAAAATCATTGTCTGTACTTTGATTATTTCGTTAGTACCCGTGTCACTCATTTTTGTGATTAATAAAACTTGTCTTACCAGGTGATTATTAATTTGATATAGCTCATTTACCAGGCCGTTTCATGTAATCGGGTCTAATTAATACCATGAAAGCTGGCGAGGCGGGATCCGAACTTGCAACTTACTGGTTAGAGTTCAAGCGCCGTAATCAATAATCTATTAGTCATACTAATGTTATGTTTATTTGTGTGATTAGTGTATTGTTGCATACACTGGATAGTGCTAAATATATCCTACACTTTAGAGATTTTTTACTAGTTTAATCTATGATTGCTGTGATATGTTTTGAAAAAATTGTGTTCCTTTGCATACAACTGGTTTATTATAAACAGTAAATAAATTATACTCAATTATATGCATGATCATGATCTTACCCAGTAGTCTAAACTAGAGTACGTGGAGTAAGATTTAAAATTTCAATCATTTACTGAACATTAAACTATATAATTAGTGAATCCCAGTCCTGTCGTATCAAACCTTTTCACTTACTAAATTATCTGATATTCATTATAATTAAAATATGAAAAAGTTTTTATAAGTAACTTCAGTCAAGTATATTTTCATGATATCCTGTTTTATTTGGGCATATTGTCAACATTTATTAATTACAAACCTCTAATCCACACACAATATCAAACAGTTATATTGAATTGATCTATCGACAGACTAGTTTGTTTGTAACTAGACATTCAGCGTTCTGTCTTCTGTTATAATCGAAAATTTTATGGTGAAATATTGATCACATGTAATTTATTAACATTCTCGCCGATCGCATTAAAGCAAATAAAGGTGGACCTATTTTCTTTCCAAACTACAATCGGGTGAACGTTATAAACCTTCGAAAGACATTAAATTGAAATTGGGCGTATTTTCCTTATTTATGTATACTGCTGGGCTATTCCTAGTTTTTATTATCAAGTAATCCGTGTGTATTTTGTTTCTAGAAAATATAATGCTAAAACTAAGACATAATAAATTGACACCTGGTAGAGTTTACTAGAATACTATACAAACTTCGATTATTACTCTTAACAACATAAAATGTTTACATTCATTTTTAGTGTAGCTTTTGCTAACTATATACGATACTTTTGTAAATAAATCGATTATCTGCTTTTAATAACGCGCATTCCTGTAGTTGTCATGAAGAATTAAGGTCATGTTCATAAATTTTGCGAATTGATTGATTAAATTTTTTACTTTTATAATCAGGCAGCTTATTTTTTAATCTCACTTAATTTGAACAACTTTAAGTATGTACATCCATTTGTATCATTATTCTGATGTTTGAATTGTTTAGATAAAATACTTATTTATTCTGAATGCATTAATAACTATGTTGTTCACATTTCTTTTGTTATAACAGTAGTAGTGTGAAGAATCATTTAGTTTTCACAATTTTTAACCTTGAAATATTAACCGTCTATGCATATAGTGAATTATTTGCCTATCAATATCTTGTAGATTCTGTATGGTAATTCATATATGCCCATTAACTCCTAGCTTTTAAATCATGATTATATTGTTAGTTGCTGCCACAATATTGTTTCTTCACTCTCCAAGATAAATTTACTGAGATGACCTCAAAATCTCTGGTATGTGATCAGATTACTTTCAGTAGATTAATGTTGAGCAGTCGTAAATACCTATGGATTTGGTACAAGTATGTATCTGTCCGAACTATTGTATCTAATAGGACAGCTGAGGAAGCGAGTTAATGGAGTAGTAATAATAATAAGTTCGGGATCTAGAGAAAAATAGAGGAATGTAACTGCAACCGATAGTTGAGTGCTCTCATCTATGATCTGTCAACACGAGTTACGGAACCACTCAAAAGGTAACTGAAAGGATGATTTCATCGGTCATGTACTCTAAGATCTTCAAGTACCATTTTGTGTAAAATATCTTTTCCATCAAAAATATTGTATATCACGGAAATATATTGGCTCTACAGAGTCCCAGTTGACTGTTTATATTTGACTTACTGAAGCGCCGGTATGTTTTGTTCGAATCAGATCATTGTTTTCTTATGTTCCTAAAATATTCACTTGGATAGTATTTTTTCATAGTTCACTAACATTACTGTCAAATTGCCTACCGGGTTTGTTCACAGTCCAGTCTTTCACATGCTTTTGCACATTATTTCGCTTCTCATGAGACAGAACTACTAAGTAATCAGATTGAAGTCGATTTCCATTTTGATTGGGATTATGCTATGCCTTAGAGTTGTTGTATAAAGCCATTTAAACTTTTTCAAGCATTTCAGATAAAAGACTAAAACCAACCAATTGAATTGAAAAACATCTATTATTTTTATAATGATGTTTTTAGATACTGACATGGTGGAGATTTGTAGCTCAGGTGGATAATTTTGATGAGGTTTTGTTCTCTGAGCTGCATAGTTTAATCTTGGAGCTTTCATCGTTCTTTTGAACGACATCACCACAAATTTCAGGTAGTCAAATCAACGCACAAAGTTCGCTTATTTGATTTGAGATATTACTTGAGTTTTAGAAAACGTGGTTGAAAGAATAAATTCTTCATAACATCGAAAAATACCAGGGATTCAAACATCTATTTTTGTTTTCTGCTGGTTTTATTGACGTGATACAAAAGTGAATATTTTTTGCACTCTCAACGCGATGAGTTGTAGCAACTCAATCACATTTTTTACAATTATTTAGCGATATGTGGTGTTTTAACGTGGATCGCTTGGCAATAATTACGAGTTGGATGTTATAATGTTTACAAATAATCTATTCATTTCAGAACAAACATATTTTAAGGTATAGAATGCTTTCTAAAAATCAGAAACAGGAGTTAGTTAGTTTGAGTATCAAGAATTCTTTAATACATTCACATATTACTATCTTTAAGACTTAAACAAGACATTTTCAATGCACAGCAGGTTTTCGACCTGGACGTGGTCGTATAGATCAGATATTCACACTACGTCAGGTTCTAGAACACAGACATACGTTCAGACGCCCCACAGCGGTAGTATTTCTCGACCTTAAGGCGGCATTCGACTCTGTTGATCGTAAGGTTCTATGGCAGTGTTTGTCACTGAAAGGAGTACATTAACCTTATAAAGGCTCTCTACTCGAACACAACTGAACTGGTCGAGTGAGAGCTTATGGCAAACTGTCATCAGAATTGATTACCTCAAGTGGTGTTCGTCAGGGCTGTCCACTCTCCCCATTCTTGTTCAACTTTGTCATTGACGTACTTTTAGAGATAACACTCTCCTCATCTAAATTTCCAGGGGTTGAACTTCTACCGGGAGGTTCACTTGTTGACTTAGAATATGCAGATGACATAGTTTTATTTGGCAAAGACGCTGACAAAATGCAGAGTTTTCTGACCACTCTAAGCAACAATGCAAGCATGTTCGGGATGCGATTCTCCCCCTCGAAATGCAGAATGTTGCTTCAGGATTGGGTTGCATTGACACCCGAACTAATGATAGGGAGTGAAGTAATTGAGCGTGTCGATCGCTTCACTTATCTTGGAAGTCTCATCAGCCCTTGTGGACTGGTGTGTGACGAAATCTCAGCACGGATACAGAAGGCTCGACTAGCTTTTGCCAACTTCGTCATTTATGGCGTAGGCAAGATATCCGTGAATCAACCAAAGAACGGGTTTACTGCGCAGCAGTTCGTTCCGTCCTACTTTATGGCAGTGAAACATGGCCGTTGAGAGTAGAGGATATTCGTAAGTTACTAGTATTTGATCATAGGTGTCTTCTAAATATTGCTCGTATATCATGGGACCATCGAGTAAGTAATGCGGTTGTTAGGAAACGGGTACTAGGTAAGGATGGCAAATCAATTGATGACGTAGTGAAACTTCATCAGTTGAGATGGCTGGGACACGTGTCACGTATGCCCAACGACCGACTGCCTCGACGTGCGATGTTCAGTGGTATAGGAGTAGGTTCGTAGAAAGGTAGGGGCGGCCAGACCAAAACATGGCACAAGTCCATGAAGTCACTGACAAGTGGTCTGAGTCATGTCGGTAGGTGTAAACTACGTGGTTGGGGACCGCGAGATGATAGCAACCGATGGTTAGAGACCCTGAATGATATGGCTCAAAATCGTTTGCAATGGCGCAGGTGCATCCACTCTGTGTTCTCCCAAATTTTGATCTCCTTACTCCTCCTTGTCTCTTTTTTTCTCCTCTCAAATCTATTTCACTGTATTATACTCTTTAAGTAACATCTCAAAACACTAATCTTCCCGATTACTGCTTATACTCTTATTACCTCTACTACTACGGGATTTGAATCGACCACTGCATCTCTATGCTAATGTGGTGTGGCAATTTGAACTGGTGTACGTACGTACGAAGTTCTACGTTGTTACTGACTGACTGAGCAGATTCTAGTCGAGTTGATGACTACTATTTCTTCTCGTTGTCGTAAGTCTCCAGCATTGCTTCGTACATAATGTTACCCGACTAGTACTACTGGTAATTCAGTTGTCGCAACTTATCCGCATGCATCTATCTAACGTTTTAGCTTAGAATACATAGCATGAATGCTCAAATTATGAAATCAAGGTGGATAGGTATTTTGACTTAGGACTGTTTGTAAGATAGAATGGAATAGTTGATGTTGAGATAACTAGTACACAAGGCCAAATTTAATAGGTTTACACGTTATATGAAACTATGAGATTAATAATGTGAATAAATATATATTACATAAGACTACGTAGTGTATGCAGTTATAAGAAATAATCAGGTGGTTGCTAACTAAACTATTCATGTCTTTGGAAGAATAATAATATGAAGATACAAAAAGACGAGGGCTGTATGTATATTAATCTAATTAGGCAACCCCATAATTAAGATGAGTACTGAATTATTGGGCATGCGGCTACTCGAGGTAAGACAGAAAGGGTTGTAAACATTACTTTTCTATATATAGCATAGGTATTTTGATCTAAATAGCAACTGCTCCTGCTGTTGAGTCTGACAGACTAAAGGAAATTTACTGCTCTCGTAAACAATTAGTTTATATCGCTACTATGACCAACCAGAACTAGTCGGGGTGTTTATTGTCTCAACTACGTCTTCTGGAAGGTGTTCATGAGCACAAACATTAACTCCTAAAAATTCGGCCGACAGAACTTGCTCTAAAGGAGTGATTGAATTTTTAAATTCAAAACAAGGTGTCAAGTCTGGCTACTCGGCTCAATCTTCTATAATCCATTAGCAAAGTGAAATGAGATTTCCGAGAAAAATTAATGGTCGTAAAACAAGATTAGGCACCCAAGAAAACGTAAATTAGTGAGACAATAGGGAAAAACTCATGAGGAATTTAGCAAATTAGAACCTAAGGAAAGACAAGGTTTAAATACATGTATGTTATTATGAACGATTTTGAGCCAGATCGTTGAGTCCCTCACCATTAGTCGTGCGGACCCAGGCTAGATAGTTTGCACCTACTTACTCAAGCCCTAATGCAGGTTAATCTCGAATATGCTTGTATTTTTTCGGCGTCTTCATCAATCAGAACTATGTCATCTGGGTAATCTAGGTTGACAAGAGAATCGTTTCTTGATAAGTCAGACGAGTGTTGTGCCAAGAATGTTTATGACAAAGACGATAACTGCAACGACAGTTCGCCGCAAGCTCTAACTCGACTAGTTTGAATAGGAAGCCTATAAAAGGTTAATGTACTTATTTAGCATACCTACCGATGAAATTGCCATAAGACTTGTCGACATATAGAAGCAGATGCTGCGCTAAGGTCCGGAGTCCGTAGGTATGTCTATGCTCCCAAACCTGATGAAGTGCAGATATACAGTCTGTACATCCAAGTGCGGAACCAGCCTCATTTTCCCGAGTTTGCTCTTCACGAGCCCGGGCTAGACGTTGGCTACCCATTGAGTTTAAGATTTTAGACAGTGTTTGTCAAATTGATTTCTCTGGTTTCCACAAGACTGGGACGGTCAGTAATATGACTAGTCAGATGAGATTACGGTCAGTTCTCGGATTCTAGCTAAGATACCAGTTAATCTAACAGCTGAAACTGGACCACCATCCTAAAAGATCAGAGATAACCCACCAGAACCTGCTTCCCTTAGTCTATTGGCTTTCCTACTTCTCTATGTTGACCCACCATTTAAGTCATTTGTCAAAAGTAGGTAACTAGCATGGTGGGAAACAAAGTTAAAATTATTCCGGCCAATAAAGCTTGACGGATTAAGATATACAAGTCCAACTACCAAGCCAAGATAGCAGCTAAAGCCGGGGCGTCAATATCGGAAGCGTGGGAAGCATTAGTTGTAATATTTGAACATTATCCCTTAAAATGTTCTTTGTAGTCTCTGGATCAGAATTTTACTGGATGGCAAGCGCGTGATGAGCGGTTTCTTATAGTTTGTACTTCTACTATTCTTAATTTCATGGGAGTATATTTGTCCGTAAACTTCCTTAGGGTATTCGTTTTCCCTAAGAGCATTACGCAATTTAAATCTCCAGCCGTATCAGTAAAGTATATTGCCATTATTCTACAAATAATTGTTCTTATGAGCTTTCTTCTCTACTGCAATGGATGCAAACAATTCTAAATTCATATGCTATCATTGTAAATAATGTATCTGTCTTATGCCTGGTCATTATTAGTTTAAATGTTAAGCTATAGATTCTTAGGAGAATTTGTCGAAAAGTGTTCTTCATTCATACGTTTGTTTAGATATGATTTTTTAAACAGCATTTTGATTATTGACCCAACAGTACCAAGCGGAATCAAGTACTTCCTATGTATTTTCAAGTACTTGTTTCCTTAATCCCACTTGAGATGTGGTTAAGTGAGTTCAGCACGCAGATTTCAATAATTGAGTCGTAATTAGATCCACTACCATGATCGTGATTCCTGAAGGTATACATAGAACTCACAATTATTATGGCGTAAACTAGTACCTAAATACGTACCAGGTCAGGCTAGATATTTACCGAAGCTTAATAACCTCATTCAGTCATTTCAGGACACGAGGAATGCTCCAAACTGAACTATGATATAAAACCTGCAACCTATACATCTGCATTTACAAACCAAGTTTCATAGTCAGGGAATAATACAGAGCGTAGTGCACAGTATACTCGTCCGTTGATTGGTAAACGGATATCTCGCATAAGCTACAGATGGTGCAAGTTGGCAAGAGCCAATTGAACTCTCTCAATCCATATACTGATGAGACTTCGAGGACAAGTACTGGGATCAACATATTCAACTACCTCACATCCTATGGTCACTCTTGGTGATGAACACAAGTCCTGAAGCATCATTTTCTAGGGAGGAAAACGAATCCGAGAGAACTGGACTACTTTTCGAAGCGTTCAGTCAACTGTACAGATCGGATTCAACCAGTTCATGCACTATCCAAAAATGTTGGATTAAACTTTGCCTATCAATTTTTTACTGAAATTGCTAGGTTTTTAGCCGATATAGTTTCGACTATTACATCTACCGATTCAAAGGAGACTACAGGTTATCCACCAGAGGTGCTTATTGGAATTCACAGGTAAAGAACATCAATTCATGAACCTAGAGATATCAATTTCTGTTATACTCAAAAAGGAAGTGTTACTAAGCAACATTTGGAATGTCAAAGTATAAGCCGCTAATTTTCGTGCTCCTAGTTTTAGAAGCAGAAGATTGCCAGAACAGTTTTACATTCATCCTTATAGTATGAAATACATGGGAGAAGAGGTTGAGAAACCTATGCACTATTTATACCTTGCGAAGTCCATTCAGCTCCAGTTGACAAATAAGGGTACGTGCGTTTCATTACATTCGAATGTGACTTTCCGAATGAGGATTTATAGCAATGACATATCTAAAATATATCTGACTTGATTTCGACCGCCAATCCTAATACCATAATTTGCAGACAGAAATAGGTACCAGGTTTTCTTGTATACTATAAAATTTAGAGACAGAAAAGCGATAATGATATATTTTGTATACTGAAAAAAAGGTGAAATATTCTTAAGACAAAAGACTTAGAAAAAATGACATATTAAAAGACAAGTCAAGTGAGGATTGGTAAATGCCACTTAGGCCGACGGACGACCATAAATGCTGAATATTATAGACTAGCCATAAAGTGGAAACAGCGTCATAACTTCTTCATGTATCATTCTGTATTTTCGAAACTGAAGTGATAGGACCATTTATTCGTGGTTTCCATATCATGCTGTAGTATATAGCAAGTACTATTGCAGCGAGGGAAACGGAAACGACATACACAAACACTGTCGCAAGACGTACCCACTTCTTATTAGTTTTTTGAAGCTTCGGCTTCCCATCATGATTGCTTTTGCCCATGTTACGTATATTTTGAAAAGAGTGCAATCTGAAAGTACGTTCAATCGATCTTTGAGAAAAGAAGTCCCTAGGCTTTCAGTTATCTTTTTAGAATGTGTTTGTGTCGATCTTGAATCAGTCCATCTGGAGAGCAGTTAATATTTTTCCTGGAGACAGACCTAGAAATACGTTGTATTTTTTTCCAGTTGCTGTGTTAGGTTTCGACTCACCTGAGGAGTTTTTGGCCATTTAAATGCTTTACTGATATGCTAGGTATATTTTTGAAAGCCTGTACTTTCAGGTGTATACGAGTTGTAGGTTCAGAAATTGGTAATTACTATGTCACTTCATAGTTACGGACTTGATCCCATGTGATCGGGAGCGTGGATAATGAAAGTTCATTTTATCGAATTAATAGCAACATATTTAGATCAGTCTTCAGTAATAAGGATAGTAGGTTGATGAACCTGTGTTAATCCTGACACATTGCTTTCCAGTGAAGGTCCAGCTTTTCCTTGAAAGTATTCACTGATAGGTCTGATACCACTTGTTCGGGTAAGGCGTTCCAATGATTGACCACTCGATGATAAAAACGGGATCCCACTTTAAGTTTATTAGATCGTGGTTTATGAACCTTCTTGCTATGACCTCGGAGATTATTAGTGCTGGAGGGAGCAAAAAGATAAGACATATTAACACCCAAATCATAATTAAAGATATGAAATGCCAGTATAAGGTCACCTCGTGTCCTACGATACGACAAGGGGAAAAGATTTAGGCGTTTTAAGCGCTCATCGTAAGGGAGTCTAGAAAGACCCTTCACTAATTTCGTTCCCACACGCTGGACACGCTCAAGGGAGTTAGTATCCTTTACTAGACACGGGCTAGCTGCTTGGATACAGTACTCTAAATGTGGTCTAACATATATGGGATATAAAATTCGAAACGTTTCCTCGTCAAAAGATTTGAACGCTCGGCGAAGTGACCATAACGCACGAAAACCTTTGACAGCGGCTGCTTTGCAATGCGCAGTTGTTTTTAAGTCATGACTTAATATTACTCCTAAGTCCTTATGCTCTTGAACGCATGGAAGAGGTTTACCCTCAATAGTGTAACGGTAACTATTACCGTGACCGACGTGCATTAGTACACTCTTCCTAGCATTGATTTCTAAGCCCCACTCTCGAGCCCATCTAACTAAATCGTCTAAGTCAGCTTGAAGATCCACATGATCAGCCGCACTTTTTATTGTTCTCCAGATTTTTACATCATCTGCAAACAATAATGTCGACGACCTAAGTAACAGTGGTAACTCATTAACGTAGAGAAGGAAGAGCAGGGGGCCTAAGATGGTGCCTTGGGGTACAACACTTTTGACCGGCTTCCAATCGGATAGCGTTCCATTGACCCTAACTCTCTGTCTGCGGTCACATAAGAAATTTCCTATCCACTCATGTACAGTACCTATTATTCCGAAGCTCGTGAGCTTCTGCATAAGACCTACGTGTGAAACCTTGTCAAACGCTTTGCTAAAATCTATGAATATCACATCGACAGACAGACCGTTATCTAGGGCTGCTGTCCAATCCTCCCTCGCAATAAGCAAGTTAGTCAAGCATGAACGCTTGTTACGAAATCCGTGTTGCTCAGGAGCTAACAGATTGTGTAAATCTATGTGGCTTAGCAACCTAACCCGAATTATCTTTTCGAGTAACTTAACGACTATGCTAGTTAGACTGACAGGCCGGTAGTTAGATACTATCTGTCGCTGACCGTCCTTAAATATAGGACTAACTATAGCGTCCTTCCAATCTCTAGGGAGTTGAGCGAGTGAGAGGGACATGTTGAAGAGTGTCGCAAGCGGTTTTGAAATAATGTCCGCAAGAGATGACAGCAACCGTGGATGTAACCCGTCAGGGTCCGGTATCTTACCAGGTTTGAGGTTAGTTATCAACGGAAGGACAGTTTCCTCAGTCACCTGTACAGATTCAATGGTTGGTATCTCGGTGTGAGTGGGACAAGTATTTGTTACAATAAACGTGGAGAAGACTTCGCTAAAATAATCTGAAAAAGTCTCAGCTTTTGCTCGATCTGATTCAGCTAGTAATTCTGAATTTTCGTGTAACAGCAACGGGGGAATACCATCACTACGTTTCATTTGCCGTTTAACATACGAAAACAATCGTTTCGGACAAGTACGGCTATCATATATTAACTGTCGTTCGTAAGTGGTACGGGATTTGGCTATGGTTTTCATACAAATATTCCAGAATGTCGGTACTCACCTGGAGCTGTAAGCTCTATCCAGTTGATATGCGGTGCGTTGAAGTCCCCAGTGATGAGAAAACATCCTGCCATACCCCAAGAACAGATGTGTATTAAGATAAAGTCGTCAGCAAGACAACACGAACCACGGTTATTCCCCCTATAGTCACTAACCAATTTCTAGATTTAATCTTACAATATGCAACCTCACATGTGCCACTGATATGAGCCTCCGATATGTTTGATTGTATACGAAAGTGATCCCTAACGTAAAATATTATACCTCCCCCTTGCGACTTGAAACTCTATCACTTCCGATACAGATACAACCAGCAATGAAAGGAGAACAGTCTATATCAACGGTGAACCAAGTTTCCGTAACAACGATTATATCGGGACATAATTCTTGCACCATCAGACTTAGCTCGGACGTTTTATTTCTAAGACTACGAGCGTTCGTGTAGCACACACTTAAGGTGTTTTGGAAATCAATCGTTCTACCCATACAGGTCTCGGAAGCATTGGCTTCCAAGACCTGACTACCCGAAAACCCTTAATGGTAAGGTTATTTTCGCCATTTTATTTGCGAGTCCTCAACTCCGTAAGAGCATTCTTTCACTTGATTCGATCCTCAAGCGGCCAATCTGGTCGAATACGGATATTTGAGTCACGAGTTTTTAGTACGCTTTTCAATAATATATCTCTTTCTTCGAAACTCCCGAGAACCAGCTTCAGGATCCTTCTTGGTTGGGTCTCGCCTCCAACCCATTTATCAAGTCGTATTACTTTTGTAATATGTACCCCTGAAACCTCTTCAGGTAGTACATTCCTTACCACAGACTCCACTAACTGCAGGTCATGTGCGTGTCTTTTAGCAGGGTCGTTGTCTTTCGACTCCTCTAGATTCCAAATAATTAAACTAGGGATGGGTCTAGCTTCTTTTGAAACTGTGTTCACAGCTTTCGACCGTGACGTTAGATCCTGTATTTTAACTACTGGTAGCTTACGATTAGTTTTTATTTTAACAGAGTCCTGGGAGTCAAGCGAATGACTCACAACAATGTCAGACGAAGCTTTACTATGAGACTTTGGCGGATTGGTCTGAGAGTCCACCAAGGACTTACCAAGTAAACAGTCATTAGTTTTAGCTATCTTTCCTACTCTTCTGCGTTTTCGCGTCATCCATTTTCCATCAGTCGAAACGTCTACATTAGAACAACTCGGGACAGTAATTGTTTTATCTGGGTCACCGGTTGCTGCTGTAGCAATATGGCCACCAACATCTAATGACGTGTCACTCACTGGTCGTTTCGGGGGAGAATGTTTAACTGCGGGTTGCACAGGTAGATGTCTGGCTTGCGCCGTGATAGCACCTACGACACTAACGCAATATTCGCCATCCGTACCAATGTTATCAGTACAGCCCTCATCAACCTTCTTATTAGCCAACACCAGGAGACTAATTGCTTCCTGGATAAGCAATGTTTTGCTCGAGCAACAAAAACTACAAAGCCAATGAGAGTTGGGCTTTGAACACCTTTTATATGCAGTGGGGCTTGATCGGGTGCACATCTTATGGAACCACTTATTACACTCATCACATTGCATCCCTTCATCCACGGGAAATAAGCAGTATGGTTGTCCACATTTATGAGTAGACCTAGCCATCTTGAAAATCAACTAGAACGGTGACGAAAACAGGATATGTAGAAGGATTTTCAAACCTTAACTAAATAAACCAAGTAAAAGTCGACCAAGTATGCTTCGATGCAATAAATACACAGAAGCAAAATCGAAAAACTCAATAAAATATCACTTTAACTGGGGTAGATGCAATTAAAGTGTAAACAGTAGTTTTGATGCGTAATTTACGATCAAAACAGTTAATTAACTCAACGAGAAAGAATACCACTGTCCTTTTTAAATAGCGCGCACAGAAATCAGATCAACGGGATCTACCAGCATGGATATGAGTTTTGAACTTATTTAGGATGCAGATGGTCAGATCCTGTCCTTGAGATCTGTGTTTATTTGTCCGGGCAGAAGTCAGGGTGACCTATGGTAGTACTCGCTCATCTAGTCTTCAGTAATAAAAAATTTAAGCCGAGCGATTGATTGCAGACATTCCATTATGCTTTTGGGTGAAGATCCGGTCTGTCTTCAACAGAGTTCATCGACAGATCTGTTAATACATGTTTGTGTTGGAAGGGTTAGTATGTAGAGGTAAACAAATCCCCAAAATATATATTTTCGAAATTCTTCGACACTGGTGCTCACTACGTTGGATATACTGGACATATCCTAGCTGAAGGCGTTCGGTCGCACACTCGTACCAGATTATGAGTGGGACACAGTTTACACATCTCTTTCAACTTTTAGTCAGGTTAGAACAAACGTCACTTCAACCTACTGACCTCCTTCCAAATATATCTTCGAACTCCTTCATTTATGTGTTTTGATTTGATTGGGTTGTCATTCTTCGAATATAATGGTGTTACTGATAAAAAAGTTGTCAAACTCTGAATACTTGTGGCGTCTTTAAGTAGTTGACCAGTAGTAACTCTAAGGCAGTGTATTGATAACTTTTATTGTGTTTGATTTTGATGAATGCACTTTTCCGTAATAATCAGACTAATGTTTCTTAATCATTTCGAAGATCCAGCCTGTCGGTGTCACGGCATTTTATCATACAAATTTTACATCATTTATAAATGTGTGATAGCGAACTAAACACGGTTAGCAATTCTTTAGTGTAG